TACATTATTTTATTTTGATAAAAAATTCTCTCAAGACTCAAAGCCTACAAAATTTGAAAAAAAAATAAAAAGTGGACCTAATGAATTCCATTTGAGAAAAAGAGTCTAAAAATATGTAATAGAAACCATTTCCACAACTTGATGAAAAAGTCAGATAAGTTGATTGATAGCTACCTTCCTCTTACATATTTAATGATTTATTTAATATATTCTAAATAGTTGTCTAAAATAATGTTTATAAGATTTTGAATTTCATAATCAGGAGAATTTGTAGAGTACTCATTAATTCAGTTTGATAGAATCATTTGGTTAATTATTAGACAAATCTTAACCAATAATATATATCACTACTTTTTACAAGATTTGAACTTAAACTTAATATCATAATAGTAAATCATATTTTTAAGAATTTTATAAAATACAATAATACTAATCTCAATCCAACTGAGAATTCGGATATCTTATTTCAATAAAAAATATATAACTTACATCAAATTGAAGAAATAATTACAAAAGATGAGAAGTGTACGTAATTTCTTCTTCATCTTAATTAAATAGGTTTTGATATCAATATTACAACAAAGAATAAAAATAATTTTGAATTATCATTCTCTTAGTAATAATTTCTTTAATAAGGATATAAGCTAAAATAAATGTTGTTCATAAATAATTAGTTTTAATTAAAATTACTAATTTTAATGATAGAATACAGGAAAGGAATCCAAAATCTACAATACAACCTTTAGTAATTAGTTTTGTTAATTATTCTATTTGAGAGGGTATGTATTATTTGAATTACATTTCAATCTTATATAAAAATTTAATAACTTAGATAATTTTCTATTGTTTTTTTAATATTGGAAACTTGATTTATAGCCGCAATATGAACAAAAAAATATGATTTAAAATTAATATTAAGTTAGATTAAGTAACAATCAATTGCTAAATCACTAATATAATAAAAAATATATCCTACTTGATAGAAATTTTCTAAAAAAGAAAAAGAATTGATCAAAAACTGGATAATACGCTCGAAGTTTCCAAAGACAAAACTATTTGAATCAAGATAGAATGGAAAACTTGTCAAAAATGTATTAGGATTTGACAAAAATATAAAATCAAAACATACAAATAGAAAGTGAGTTGTGAATACAAATAATAACAATTTTTGTAGTGGTTTCTCTGAAAATGCAACATCATTATTTAATTTTATATATAACAGCTTTATATTTAAAAATAAGATCATAATACTATTGAAATGACTAATTTCATAATTCCTTAAACTGTCCTGAATCTTATTGTCAAAAGTAAGAAGAGAATTTATTCAATTAAATTTATAATTCAACACAACATGCATGCAAATTTTATAAAATAATTGAGGATATAATGAATCTATGATAAGGTATGAATTGTGTGATTAAAGAATGAACACTAGTATTGAACAATCAAATTTACTAAAAATCAAGATACCAGAATTGTGATTCAAATAGATTGAAGGTTGTCAAGACTTAAATAATGGATAAAACTTTTTTTTATGTTCAAAAAAGAGAAAATATAATCTTCAAAAGATAAAATTGAGTATACAATTACTGATAAACTAAAAAAAATCATATTCGAGCTCTTTCAATAATTATTTAATTTTTGAAATATTCTTTTCTCTTTATTTTTTTGATTGATAATAACAACTTATGATCTAGAAAATACTAAATAATAATATAATTTGTGATAGTCTTTGTTGAGTAAACAAATTAATCTCAAACTATCCAAAAAACCATATATAAAATATTCCTATAAAAATTACAATGGAAAATTATCTTATTTATTTCAAATCTTCAAAATCTTAAATTTAGCAGGTTAGATATATAAATAATATATTAGAAATGTACATTTTCAAATTTCATTAAACGAGTTAATAATTATCTTTGACAATAATAATATAGACAAATAGCAAAAATAAAATATTTGAATTATTATTTAGTTTATAAGGCTTTAATCATCTTATACTATTTTAAGCGATATATT